AGAGGAGAATGGAGGAGAAGGGATTGCGGCATGGCCATCCCTCCTGGGGGGTGATTTCTCGCTTTCTGTCTCTCTGTCTCTCTCTGTCTGCCTGGCGAGTGCATGTGCCCTGTAGCAAAAATAAATAAATAAATAAAAAATAAAAAAGAATACATCACTTGCAGATAATAGAAGACTACTGTGAGTATTTTTATTTATTTATTTATTTTTTAATTTTGGTAGAGGGTGCATGTGCTTGCTGGAAGAGAGACAGAGAGAACGTGAGAAAGCAACCCTCCCCCATAAGACATGGTCATGCCACAATTCCTTCTCCCTCATTTCTGTTTTCAGCATTTGGGGCACACACACCTAGTTTGTTGTTGTTGTTCTGTTTGTTTGCTTTTTGAGATATTTTTGCTACAGAGTCTATACACTCACTGGGGAGACAGAAGGAGACAGAGAGACAGAAAATGAAAAAACACCCCCAGCGGGGATGGCCACACTGCAATCCCTTCTCTTACATCCTTCTCAAGGCTTTGGGCCCACACGCACATGCACCTGGCGTGAGTTTCAAGCTGTCAGGTCTGGGACTTGAACCATGGTCAGCCATATGGGAGTCCAGTGCCTTAACTACTACCCCCCCTGCTGCCCCACACCCAGCATGTTTTTCAAGCTACTGGGTAGGACTCAAACCACACAGTTGGACATTTGGGATCCAGCACCACCTTTACCACCAGATCACCAGGCGGCCCTTCTGTAGGTATTTCTATCAAGAGTCAAGCATGGTGCCTGGCACACTGATTCTGATTAGTGGGTTTAGGATTTATAGTTTTGCTTAATCCCCATTTTCCCTTATAACCTTCATGAAGAAAAGGCAACTAGTCCACATGCTATGAGAAGGTGACCTTTAGAGTCCCTCTGCACTTCCTGTTTGGAAGGTAAGAAAGCTCCTAAGATGACCAGTCTTTTCCAACTTCCTCTCATCACGGCCACTACAAGTCTCCAAACCTTGTGAGAACTGGCTGGGCTGGACAATGACAGAATAAGGGGTCAGAAAGACACTGAGGACGAGGTGAGAGCTGCACTGAAGTGACTGAGGTGAGCAGGGAAGGAAGTGAAGCGAGGACAGGGCCTGACACCCAGGGGCTGGGTATCCAGGTGAGGTCAAAGTGCAGACAGTGGGACTAAGGGAGTGGAATAAGTAAAAGAACAGGAGGTTCTCACCAGAGAGGAGGTGTCCAAATGCACCATTTCAGAGGATTCTGAGTGAGGATAAGGTTGAGACTGGAGGCAGGGGCATGAAAGACAACATGCAGGTTGAAAAGTAGAGGAAATCAAGAAATTTAAAGTCCAAAGTATCACACAGGTCATTGATTGGACCAGTGACTCTTCACTAGGGTACCTCTGATCTCAGGGGACATTTGGAAATGTGTGAGAATCTTCTTGGATTTTCTCCTTCACCCTTTTATTCTTTTTTGGTTGTCATAATGTTAGGGGGGTGCCACCTGTACTTGGAGGAGGTCAGATGATGAATAGCCTGTGCAAGGAAGATCATCCAAAATGCCAACAGCACCCTCCGTGAGGAATGCTGGGAAGAAAATTATGCTGGAAGTAGTGACTCCAGTGAAAGCAGCGTGCCTGGCCTAGAGGCTAGCACACCACTGCAGTGAGCAGGAGGGTAAGAGACAGATGGTATAGCTGGATGTAAGACTCAAAGCACAGGTTCAACACATCAGAAGCAGGCACGAAAACCAATAGATGGGGGCCAGCAGGTAGCATGGTCATTAAGGGTGCTGGACTCCAACATGGTCAGTCCACAGTTCAAGTCCCGGACCTGGTGGTTTGCTTTCTCACTTTCCATATCTTTCTCTCTCTCTCTCCCTCTCTCTCTTTCTCTCTCTCCCCACCCCCTCCCTTTCTGGTCAAATATAAATAAAGACATAAAGTTAAAGAAAACAATTCTTAAAAAAAAAAAGAAAGAAAGAAAGAAAAAGAAAAACAACAGATGGGAAACAATGCTGGAAATGTAGAACAGCAACCCTGACTCCTGGCCCCAATATTTCAGGGAACTGTGTGCAGAAAGAGCAGGCAGCCACTATTCAGGGACAGAATACATGTCGAGGGAAGGCCAAGTTTAGTTAAAGACAGGTGGGGCGAAGGAGGGTGAAAAGGGTAAGAATGTAGTGAAGTTTCTCTGCAGAATAGGGAGTTTCCAAGTCCCATTAATCATATCTCAACACTGTCTCATACCCTTCTCTTCCTCCTGCTGCCCCCTCCCCAGCAGCTTTCACTCTGGTTCCCAAGAGAGCCTCATAAATGGTCTCCATGCTATCAATCTGTCAGCTCTCCAATATATTTTTTACACTGTTGCCAGAAGCATCTTTCTAACATACAAGTCTGGTCATGTCACTCGCCCTGCACGAAAACTTCCAATTGCATCACTGTTTATCTAAATAAATCCTAACCTTAGCATAACATTCGAGGCCTTTCACCATTTGGCCCTAACTGAACTCTACCAGTCTCTTCTTTTAATTTCTCTGTGCCAGACTGCTTGCTTTTCTATTCCCTTACTCATGTTCATCTTCCACAGTCTTTTGCTTAAAACCCTTATCTTAAACCTTATTCATTTGCTTCATGTTCAAGTTCACTGCTTCGATTTCACAGGTCTGTTTCTTCTACCACCAGTTTTTTTCTAATTTTCCCTGGAGGTAAAAAACATCACCTAGGTTACTTGTTAAAAACACAAATTCCTGGGCCCCATCCCAGACACATCAAATTGGAATCCTTAAAGGAGGGGTCTGGGAAGTCATACAAGATGGTTTTAAAACATGAACAGAAAAATCTTTGACATTCCTCCTGTCAGAGGGTGGAGTCGAATTCTCCTCTTCCTCAATATGAACCAGGCTTAGTGACTCACTTCTTCTTTTTTTAAACATTTATTTATCTATTTATTTGTTGTGATTTTCAAGCAATTGGGTCCAAGAACCAAACTGCCTTTGGCCGTGTGGGAATCCAGCACCCCAACTACCATGCCACCTGCTGGCCCTAAGTGACTCACTACCTAATGAAAAGAATGTAGCAAAAGTGACAGTGTATGACTTCCAAGACTAGGTCATAAAAAGCAAAGAACTTGTAACTCCCTTCTTCCATTGTTCTCTCTCTCCCTCTCTCTGGACGCTTGCCCTGGGAACACAGCCACCAAGCCAAGAAGTCACATGTACTGGCCACGTGTAGGTGTTCCAACCATGGCCCCAGCTGAGATCCCAGATGACGGCCAACAACAACCACCTGACTTGTGAGTGAATGAGGCTTTAGATGACTACGGCCCCCCAGCCTTTGAGTTACACTGGCTGATGCTGAGCAGAGCAGAGCAGAGTAGAAATAAGCCCTTCCGGGGCTGGAGATTCATAAGCAAAATAAAAATTGTCATCGTTAACAGGACTAGCAGGTTGCACGGTAGTTGAGGAGCTAAACTTTCACATGGCCGACCACGGTTTGAGTCCCAGAACTGGCGGCTTGCTTTCTTACTTCCTCCCTCTCTCTCAATCCGTGTGTCTCTCTGGTCAGATTAAAAAATAATAATAAATAAAATTTAATAAATGTTTTTTAAAATCGGGGCCACCCGGTAGTGTAGTGATTAAGGTGTTAGATGTTGGCCAACTGCATGGTTCGAGTCCCAGATCTGGCAGCCTGAAAATCACACCAGGTATACATGCATGAGTGCACAAAATCCCAAGAGGAGAATAGAGAGGAGATTGTGGGGTGGCCATCACCCTGGAAAGGTGATTTCTCACTTTCTTTCTCTGGCAAGCACATGTGCCCCATAGCAAAGCTGGAAAAAAAAAAAGTTATTTAATTTAAATAGCCAGCTATATGTATATGCATCATATATATAGAGATAGAGACATAGATCATCTCAAGGGCTAGCCCCAACGCCCAGTGTGTAAGGGAACCAGATCCCCTATGGCCTATGGCACAGTTCAAATCCCCGCCCCAGTGGCTTGTAAAACATCCCGGGCACATGTGCATGCGTGGCCAAATCTCAACAAGATGGAAAAATGGAGGAGAAGGGATTACGGCTAGACTTCCCTCTCCCTTTCCCTCTGTCTCCTGTTTTTGCCTAAAGGGTGCAGGCACTAGCATGCACTTGCACCCTTCAGGCAAAAAGCAAACAAAACAACAAAGAAAAACTCATCTCAACTAGAAGATCTTCTTGATTAGCTTCTATTTGTTATGGCTACTCTTTCTCTCCCATTCTCACTCTTATTCTGTATCCAGTTCTTACTCCTATTCATTTAGGATTTGCTAACGTTTTGCTTTATAATTATGTTTTATAATTATCTTTCGTTTGCAACTTTTTCTTTACCCAACTAAAAATTCAAAGATAAAGAACATGTCCTCTGATTATTATCATCCTTGTTCTCCACAGTATTTTGTATAGTGCTTAAAATCCAGTAGGGGGGCCAGGAGGTGGCCTGGTGGTTGAGATGCTGAATGCCACACAGCTGACCACAGTTTTGAGTCCTGGACCCGGCGGCTTGCTTTCTCACTTTCCCTCTCACTCTGTCTCTCTCTGGTCAAATTAAAATATTAATAATCAAAAATAAAATTAAAAATAATTCTTAAAAAATATCCAGTAGCGGGACCAGCAACTCTGTTAATGGCTATGTTGCTGGACTCCCGTGTAGTCGACTGCGGTTTGAGTACCGGACCCGGTGGCTTAAACTCACACCGGGCGCATGTGTATACATTCCCAAGATCCCAAGAGGAGAATGGAGAAGGGATTGCAGTGTGGCCATCCCCCCAAGGGTGCTTACTCGCTTTCTGTCTCTCTGTCTCTCTCTGTCTTTCTGGCGAGCACACGCACCCTATAGCAAAAACCTCTCAAAAAAAAAAAAAAAAAATCCAATAGGGACACAATAAAGCCATTTTACATCAGGTACTTTCTCCACTGATTTCCCTGACAGGTGGTGATGTGTGCTCAAGACAGATGGTCCTTTTGGACCAGGATCAGCACTTACTTGGAGAATATTTCTACAATAGCCGATGACTTATTCTTGTTGACAAGAGAAAGTTCTTTGGCCGTTACTCTCAGTGACAGTGAAGTCCATTGCCGTCTATCAAATGGAGTTGATTCCATCTTGTCTACAGATTCCAAAATACCTATGCAATAAAGAAAGTCAGAACATTAGACATAGGAGAGGATTTTCCAGCAACCAAATATTGGTACAGGGTGGTAGAAGCGAGAAAGCAGAGGGCCCTAAATGAGCAGACAACACTCCTCCACTGGTTCTCCCAAACACTGTGTAACCATGGTCAAATGATTCAGTATCTTTTGGATGTAGTTTCCTGAAAAAGGAGAAGGTCAGACTAGATAATCTCTAAGGTCCCTTCCAGTTCCATCATTTTATGACTGTCCCCACTGTGCAAATATCAGCCGGCCTTTCCCTGAACTTAAATCTGTTCCAAAGTTGCAATTATTGCAAAATGGTCCCCTCTTCTGAATTACATCCCAGGGGAGGCACGATCAGCATCTCAGTAGAGCCTGGTCCAAATTAGGTCCTACCTACATCCAAGTTTCTTTCGGCTGCCCTCTCTCCCCAAGCACTGAAGCACTGGTCTCTGGATGTGGAGGACACTGCATGGCGGAATAAATAGGGCAAGAGCTTTAAGGTGACCCAGATGTGGGTGAAATCATAACTTTGCTGCTTTGAACAAATTTTGTAATCTTTTCAGTCTAAGCTTCTTTGGCTGTAAAATGAGGAGATTTACTTATATTTTTATAGTTTTGTTTTGCTTTGTTGCTATATAAGGCATGTGCACTTGCTATCAAGACAGAGCGAGAAAAATGGAAAGTGAGACGAGAAATCACCCCTCCTCAAAGAGGATGGCCATGCCGCAGTCCCTTCTCCTCTATTCTCTTAGGGTTTCAGGCATTCATGCACACACACCCAGCATGGTTTTCAAGCTGCTGGATCTAGGACTCGAACTGCATAGTCAGTCCTATGGGATACAGCCGCCTTAACCTCTGTATCACCTTCTGGCCCCTGTAGGGTTTTGATATGGATTTTAAAAGCTATTTTAAAGATACTAGGCACTTTAGAGTAGTATTTAAAAAATTTGAGGCCAGCCAGTGGCATGGTAGTTATGGTGGCTGGATCCCACATAGGCAACTGCACAGTTCGAGTTCCACATATGGCAGCTTGAAAAACAACCATGTATGTATATGTACATGCCCAAAATCGAGAGAGGAGAGTGGAGAAGGGACTGCAGTGTGGTCATGCCTCTGGAGGGGGGTGCCTTCTGACTTTCTCTTTCTTCTTGTATCTCTTTAGTGAGCAGATACATCCAACAGCAAATTTTTTTTAAAAATTACTTTATTTAACTTTATTTATTATGTATTTATTTAAATTTGACAAGAGATAGAGAGAGACAGAGAGAGGGAGAGAAAGTGAGAAAGCAAGCCACTGGTTCCAGGACTCAAACTGCGGTCAGCCATGTGGGAGTCCAGTGCTCTTAACCATCATGCCACCTGCTGGCCCCATAAAACTTTTTTTTTTTTAAGTATTTTGGGGCCAGCTGGTGACATGGTGGTTAAGGCAGATGAATCCCTCATAGCTAATTGAACAGTTCAAACTCAGACATGGAAGCTTTAGAAACACACCAGGTGTGGGTGTGTGCATGCCGAAAATCTTGAGAGGAGAATGGAGGAAAAGGGAATAGTGTGTGGCCATCTCCTGGGGATGATTTCTCACACACCACCCCTGCCAATGCCCCACAACCTCTCCACCTACTCCACCCTACCCCACCCTACCCCCATCTTTGGCAAGTGCATGAGCCCTATAGCAAAAAAAAAAAAGTATTTTAAGTACATATGAATATGGGACCAGCAGGTGGCATGGTGGTTAAGGCACTGGACACTCCCACATGGTTGACCACGGTTCGAGTCCTAGACCTGGTGGCTTGCTTTCTCACTTTCCCTCCTCCATCTCTTTCTCTTTGTGTCTCTCTCTGGTCAAATTAAAAAATGAATGAATGAATAAATAAAATTAAATAAATCATTCTTTTAAAAAAGTACATGTGAATATTAGTTCCTATTATTTTAAAGCCTTTTAACAACTGAAAGAAGTATAATTTTTAAATCTAGGAGGTAAAATCTCTAAAATAAAAGTCTTTTTAAAAATATTTTCAAGTCAGAGAATACATATAGCCACACACCCTTGACTCACCTAGTTTCTAACCATCAATCTGGATTGTTGGGTTGTTTTATTCCCGTAATTACCAAAGGAGTTCCAACCTTTGTCCAGAACAGGTGAGATTAGACACGAGTCAGTAGGTTACTTATTTAAAGAGTGAAAAATATAGATTAAGGTACTACCTGCAAGTCTCTTGACAACCACAGAGTCTAACAGACCTGGTAGAACCTATGGTTTGTCAGGTACCCCTTCCAACAGCCTTGACAACACTAGAACCCTGTGTGCTTAAACCAAGCAGCCCGGGAGGCCATTTCACATTAAAAGCCCTGAGATGCAAAGGAAGTGACAAGCAACCTAAAAGACACCTACTTTCCCACATGTAGTACTTGTTCTTCCAAGTAAAGCACGGTCTGAAGACAAGATTAACTTTGTTGCTTTTGTTTATTTATTTGTCTTAATCCTGTGCTGGAAGGCAACACAGTACCCTCTAATGGTAATGAGTTATGGTATTAGAGACAGGTATGTCTAAGTGTGAGCACTGGCCTCATCACTTAAAGCTGAATGTCTTTAACTAAAACTTAGATTTCTCATCCATAATAATGGTACTCATTTCCTGCTACTCTTATGAGGAATAGATAAAGAAGAAAAGACCCTGATATAGAATAAGTAAGCAATAAATGTTATGTTTTTTATATTATCTCTTTTTCCTGGACAAAGTGACCTTAATTCTACACATGTTCTTTGAAATAAACCTAAATTTAACAAATAATATATGATACCTATTTATCTGCTTTCTAGTTTGTAACTGATGAACACACCAAACACTGTCAGCCCTTTCTCAAAGGAGAAAAGATAAAGCAACAAAAAATTCAGCTAATCTTAATCATATAAAACCATAATAATGACCCTTTAAGGCAAGTTTAAAAGATGCTTTGGGGGGGACCAGAAGCTGGCATAATGACCATGTCACTGGACTCCCATGTAGTAGACCGTAGTTCGAGTCCTGGACCCAGTGGCTTAAACTCACGTTGGGCACATGTGCGTGCATGCCCAAGATCCCAAGAGGAGAATGGAGAAGGAATTGCGGCATGGCCATCCCCCCTGGGGGGTGATTTCTCGCTTTCTGTCTCTACGTCTCTCTCTGTCTGGCGAGCGCATGCGCTCTAAAGCAAAAAAAAAAAAAAAAAAACAACTCTCCAAAAAAAAAAGAAGAATTATTTATTTAATTTTATTTATCATTCATTTCTTTTCATTTGACCAGGAAGAGACACACAGAGAGAAAGAGAGTAAGAAAGCAAGTCACCATGTCTGGGACTCAAACCACAGCGGCCATGTGGGAGTGTTCAGCACCTTAACCACCATGCCACCTGCTGGACCCAAAAAGACATTCTTCTAGTAGGAGTCAGGAGTAGACATAGAATTAAAAAAAAAAAAAAAAAAAAAAAAAGAAAGAAAAGATATTATTAGGTACAATTATGCTTCCAATGTAGGTGAGCAAGTCACCATGTCTGGGACTCAAACCACAGCGGCCATGTGGGAGTGTTCAGCACCTTAACCACCATGCCACCTGCTGGACCCAAAAAGACATTCTTCTAGTAGGAGTCAGGAGTAGACATAGAATTAAAAAAAAAAAAAAAAAAAAAAAAAGAAAGAAAAGATATTATTAGGTACAATTATGCTTCCAATGTAGGTGTGGATGTAAATATGGTCAATTTTTTTTTTTTGAGGTTTTTGCTAAAGGGAGTGTGCACTCACCAGAAAGATAAGAGACAGAAAGCAAGAAATCGTCCCCCCGGGGGATGGCTACACCACAATCCCTTCTCCATTCTTCTCTCAGGATTTTGGGCATGCACACACATACACCCAGTGTGAATTTAAGCCACCGGGTTCAGGACTCAAACCGCAGTCAACTACATGGGAGTCCAGCAACATAGCCATTATGCCAACTGCTGGTCCCAATACTGTCAATTTTTCTACAGCGATCAATTCTGGATCAAAGGGGAAAAAATAAACAGGATGCATTCTCAAATCTGTTCATAACAAAGGAAAAAGCATTATTTCAGGAGTGAGTATGGTAAAGAAAAAGAAGTTAATTCCCAGGTATAAATCTATAGTTTTAATTACTCTCAGCTAGAAAACAAAAGAAGGTCAGAACATCTAAGGCCAGAAAAGTGCACCTTACACTGAAGGAATACAGTGGCTCTGAACCTGACACATTTCTGTTGGCAGAATCATACTGTTATTTCTCGGCAGTGTGACATGTACCTAATGAAACAGGCAAAGGTTAAAGTCACCACATGCTTTTGTTTGTTTGTTTGTTTGTTTTAAGAGTTATGTTATTTAACTTTATTTATCCACTTATTTATTTTAATTTGACCAGAAAGTGATAGTGAGAGAGAGAGAGAGCATGCAAAAGCAAGTCACCACATCCGGGACTCGAACTGCAGTCGGCCAAGTGGGAGTCCAGCGCCCTTAGCCACCATACCACCTGCTGGTCCCACCACATAACTGCTTCCTACAAGATGCAGGGAGAAGCTCCTGCTCAGGTGGAGAAGCGCAAGGCAGAGGTGTGCAGGGCAGTGAGTGGCCTAGGCATGCAGCACCTGATTTTCTGCCTTGATAGAAGAGAAAGAAAAAGACATAGGATTGACATGGGACCTTCAGAAGGGGCAGATTTTCAACAAAGTGAGGGAAAGAAGGGGAAAATAATCTTGGCTAGGAGGAACTGCATTATCACCTTTAGGGAGTGAGACTCTAGGTGCCAGAGAAGTTGAAGATATGGGAGGAAAAGAAAGAATAGGGCTAGACTGGGAAGAGCCTTGAAAACTATGCTAACATTGGACTATATTCCAAGAGTGGATGAATTAATCTGTAAGGAAGGAGGGATGAGGTCTAGTCTGTGTTTTTCCCTTTTTTTTTTTTTTTTCTTCAGTTTTTGCCATAAGGCATGTGCACTTGCTGGAGAGA